TCTTAAGGTTTAGCCAACGAATGGTTTCTAAGGAGGACTCGATAAATTTTCCTGAAGTAAAAGCTATCCTAAATGTTGATCCGAGTAATAAGTTCTGACTTCCTCAAATTTCGTTCAAATCAGTTCATTACTTTTTGCGTGAAACGCGTACACACAAAAAGACAAACAGCCAAAATTTTTAATAACTATTGTTTTGGGATCTATATTATGTACATAATACGTTGCAGCCATTGTTTTTAAAAAAATATTTCATGTACAGGTTTTGCTAAGTTACTGCTTTATTATAGTATAGATTAAAGGAATAAATAACAGATTTGCGATTTTGAATAAACGAACATTATTTTTTTATAGGTATCCTTTTATTTTTATGGATACAGATAATATAATCTATTTTAAGATATGTTAAATAATTATAAATAATATGTATATTACACATAAATCAACTTGACAAAGTGACACGTCGTATCTGTAATCTGTAGTTATAAATATATTGCATATTTGAAAACAAATTAGTAAAAATTGTAACCTTTGAAGATAGCGACGGAAATAATGTCATAATTGAAATGATTTGTCAGACGACGGTTGCTATGGCAACCTAACTATAACAAAATATGAGTAAATTTAAACCATAAAATATTTCCCATTGCCGTAGGAACTTCGGGGTACAAAGTATGTATAAACACTCTTGGGTAAGAACTTAACGACAAGTAGAAATTTTATGTCAATCCATCGACTACTTTTCGAGATTTGCGTTTTTGAACAAACGAACATTATTTTTTTATATATATAGAATATACCTAGATATTTCGATTTTTTAAGAAACTTAAGTCCATTAAGAAGTTAGCTTTTTAAACTATCAAATACTTCTGAGAATGGTCTACATATGTATATTTTTGGCAAATATAAGTGTCGTTATTATTTCATTTTATGAAATGATTTAAAAAATATATTTTTTGCATTAAACAGTATAAATTTATTATTTCTTGATGAATTTATATTTTTTTTAAAAACACTCGCCCATATTGATAGCATTGAATGACGTTAATCGAAATCACGAAATGTTCAATAACTATAAGTAATGCAAAAGGCCACCTGCCCGATGCCTCTCTCCAAAGATAGTAGCTCACTAGTGTGCGACACGTCGGTACTTACACAATGATTTAACCCCGCATTATGACAGGTTAATTATAATTAAAAGGTTTTTCTGTATGTAACTACATATGTATTCGGATGCAACCGCGATTACACGTACTTTTATAGAATGCTCCAGCTTTTTAATAAAAAACTTTTATCAATTTAGTGTTACAGTTAATTATACACTTTCTCTATAATAAATTTAAATATTTTTAAAAGATTCTTAATATACAATTGTTAAATAATAAGATATAGCTTGTATGAACTATCTATGTTAAATATTAATGTGCTTTAAATCTATGTATAGTTTTTTGACATAATCTTTTTATAACATTTCATAATACCAAATTTCATCAAAATCTGTCGAGTAGTTTTCTCATGATGCGTTCTCAGACAGAATAAAATTCTAAAAAGTACCTATAGATTTAGCGTCTGTGTTGATAATAATGACGGTTTCCATATTTTTTTTCCAAAACGACTCACAATTTTACTATACACATATATAGAAAACTATTATATGTAGGATTGTATGTAAATAAATAGGGAATCTTACTTTAAACTTAGAACTGTAATCAGTGTATATGATGACAAAAAGGCGGTTACTTGAACACTGTGCAGTAGGCGGTAAGATTGACTGAGGATAATAACAAACGACTCTATATTTGAGCAGAGCTCGGGTGAGCCATCAATAACCACAGCTAGATTACGTTTTAGTTGCTTTTAGCAATTTGTGATGCGTGGGTCGAACGGACAGTTTATGTTTGGAGTCTCTTATAGTGCGACCTCTCACCTCTACACTTATCTGCTTGGAGTACAATATTTTGTATGAACAAAATTAACACCCAGAGTTGTATCACATATCTACATGTTGTATATATTTTTTAAATGTTGAAGTTTTTCCTTCTATTTATTTAAATATAGAAGCATTAGTAACTTTAAGTTAGTTTGAAAATACCTACTTAAATTTAATATGTACTTTATTAAAAAAAATATCTTCAGCTTTATCTTCTATAGGTAGCTATATCCTATTAATATTATAAATGCGAAAGTTGAAGAAAACGTCTGGCTGTATAAATGTATGAATGTTTGTTATTATTTCACGCAAAAACTACTGAATAGATTTTAATGAAAATTTGTATAATATAGCTCTTGCATCAGAATAACACAGGCTACTTTTATCCTGGAAAAATGTACGTTTCGCCTGGGATAGATATGTTATTAGTTTTATAGAGGCGAACCCGAGCGAAGCGAGGGTGAGCCACTAGTATAATATAATAACATCTTGAGTACCCAATGAATAATATTATTAATGATAATTATAATTGTAAATAAAAAATATTTCCACCGTCAAATAAACTAAATAAATTAGTAAACAAACACTCAAGTGTAAACAGAAAAACATAACACATTGTCTTATGTAGTCCATGTTTAAGCTCGAATCTTTTACAATTTTATACGTTTGTTGTTTATCAAAAATATGCATAAATACATTTAAATGTGTATCAACGCATGTGAAGCAAAGTCAAATCGCGAGGCTTTCTAATTATAATTTATAACGTAACCTCGTTATTTAACTTTATTAAATAAACTTACGAATTAAATTACTAAATAAGGCTCGTTGACTGATCGTCTTGTTATTCATTGAAAATAAATATAATAATAAGGAATTACCCACTCGGTGCGCTCCACTCGGGGCGTCTCCTCTTACCACTTGATGCCTTTGTATTAGGTACCTACTCCAGATACACAGTCTATCTGTGTACCAAATTTTATCCAAATCTATTCAGCCATTTTAACGTGACGGAGAAATCTACATACAAATATATAAAAACTTTCGCATTTATAATAAGTAGTCTGAATAGTCTGGACTAACGAATCTGCATATTCGTAAAAGTATATTGCAATAAAAAACTAACCGTTCGCCGGAAGTTCATTAAACACATTACAAACACATCTCATACAACATTAGTAAATTCTAATAAACCTGCAATTCGGGCTTGCATATTATTTTCCTTGAATTACATTTTAATGCCCAAAATCAGTGGAGCAAGTCGCACAGTACGTTAAATTAGTCACACAGCGCTCTTCGAATAGCTGGAGTCTCCAGCAAATAGTCCGGGAGTACAAGATTAGTACGCGAGTGGCTTCATCAGTCTCAATTATCACAATCGACTCTACTTCAAACGAACATTACGCATGAAAGATCGAAGCCCTTTAGATATCTCAGCTCGTTACTTTATAAAATCAATTCGATCAGATGATTCATGGCGTTTACAAAAAGAGAACTTCGGTCCGGTACATCGGAATACAATATAAGCGGTAGTGTCCATAAAGCCGCCGCCGCCCGCGAACACGAGGGACATCGATTAAGTGCGCGGCGAGGGCTTAGGATGGGGTGTCTACTATTCCCGTATTTGTGGGAATATCCTGATACTTAATATGCATTTGAACGAAAACCATTATAAAAAAGGGTTTTATCCAACTATCTGAAATATTCTTTAGAGCTAGCTAGCTTTGAAGTTTAAGCAATACACATACATATTTTAAAACTCAATAAAAAATAATAATCAAAAAAATCTTTACCACAAGAACCGGTGAGATACTTATATTAGCTCCCATCATATACTGCTAACAACTGTTCTTTTCATTTTTAAAGCTTAAATAAATAAAAATATGTTATACAATAAATATATTAGAATATGTGATAATTTCTAAAAAAACTGTCTAATTTTAATTTCATTTTGTGCAAAGCTTTTATCGAGTGTGTGTGTGTTAACTTTAAAATCCTTAATCAACTCTATAGAGTCCTGTAATTTACGAAATTCTGGTAAATATATTTATGAGGCAAGGCGACACGCCGCATTAGCGGGCGTCGGGCGTAATGCGGTGCGGGCGCGGGCGCCGGCGCTGGCGCCTTAGGACGGGTGGACACTGATGGCTGCACCCAAACTTGCCATCAAATGTATATGAAGCACTTAAAAAGTAGATACAATACTTAACGCAGGACTAAATTTGGAAACATCCAGATAACGTTGATAAATCTATGCTGAGGCCAGTCTTAGTTTTTTCATAGTTTTTTCTCTACAGTACGAATAGAAAAAGTCTTAGAGATATGTAAAAACTAACAATAAGGCCTTAATTATTGAAGGTTTTGAAGCTATAATTTTTACAATATATAAGAGAGGATTTGCACATTTGTAATTACAACTTAATTCTAAAAGCAATCACAAAGTGCACTATCAATTCTCTACATTCCAGTAGCCAGTGTGCCCCGAGACTAACTCTACGTAGAGCCTCTGAAACGCCGCCTCAAAAGCCTTTCCGTGTTCCGCGGCCTCGCCCCCCTCGCGCCCCCACCCCGCATCGTCCTACCCCCTTCCCTCTCCCCTGGTCCTCAGCACAATTAAAGCACCGATGAATTACAATCCTTCCTACTTATTGACGTTTTAGTCGGGAAAGTATGTAAATTGTGTGACGGTAAAGTTGAGTACCGCAACAACATAACACTGGCTAAAGCTGGGCTGAGCAGTAAGTGTTGCATGCTATATATTATAAGAGTGTTTTTGTTGTTCGTTTCCTTAATTATTAATGAGCCATTAAATATTTAAATGTTTGTAAATTCTGAGTAATCCTAACAGCTGTTTAAGAACCGAAAAAAAAATCCAAAAATTACCAGTTTTTAATGTATTATAAATGAAGCTCTACATAGAGGTACAGTCCATAATATTAATGTCAGAATATAAAATAGGTGAATGAAATGTGGTGGCCGACTATAATTCGCGTCGCTAATTAAACGTGTAACGTCAATAAAACTAATATAAAATCCATGTCTAGGGGAGTAGTGGTGTATCGTTTAATGAACTCTAATGGAGAGCGCCGGCTCTTACAAGTCCTACTAATTGCGTCCGAGGAGCGTTGTCACCAAATTTTTTTGACCCCAACCCGACACTCACCGGGAATGCTTTTATACCGGCGACGGCGGACCTGTTAATGTGTTAATCCACTTCGTTTGCCTTGTTTTTCTGTTATTAATAGCTAAACAACGGCGGCGGCCGTCTTGCTCGCTCGCGGGCCGCACGCCACCGGAGCGAGAGGGACGGGCGAAAGATTTCACGTAATGCAGATATAATATTTAAATGATGAATTCTCAGCGAACCGGCGCAGGCGAGGCGGGGCCGAGGAGTAGATCAGCCGAGCACAGTAATTACCCGCTCGGTCATCATTATCGCGACATCTCCAGGAGTCATTTGTAGCCTTATCTACTAAACTGATGAAATCTTGACGTGACAATACGACTGATGTTTCAAACACAGCGTGATTATTTTCTACATTTTAAAATATTTTCATGGCCATCACAGTACAGCTATACAGTTTCACTTCTAAGGTTGTTACTACAAAGTATCATACCGCTAATTAGTCTGATATATACAATTTAACTAGTACATAAGTTGGTTGAACAAAATTCGATTTCATTAATGCATATTAATAATGCTATTATGTCGAGATGTACAAGAGCTATTTTGTTTTGATTATTTTATGTAAAATTACATATTTATATACGTACATACATACTTACATTACGTGTAAAGTTAGAATACAATAAAAAATTAAATGTGTTGTATTCAATCCATAATAACGCAATACAAAGCCTTGTACTCGATTATCAAAAATCAACAATTAGACGCGTACGACACGGAAGGACGCGAATCCATCTATCTGTTCCCAAAGGGCCCGCCCTAATTAATTACCTTCCACACATCGACTGACAAAAATACGCGAGCCTTGTTGCGGCTAAGAGCGGCGGCGCCACTCGAGGGGCCTGGGGGCAGGGGACGGGGTAGGGGGACGCGAGGGGAGGGGGCCCACTAATGCAGGCACCGATAAGCAGACGCATGGGAAAGTGTCCCGGCCAATATCGTAGTCGATAGTATAATTCCTGTGCTCCAACATTTTCATGTGTATTGATCAGCTTATGAGTCGCTTTTGGACACGTTTTTTGAATATGTGATAGCATTTTATGAGGACGGAAGTTAGGTTATCTCCGCCACCTAATCAAAGGGGTAGTGAATTAATTTTATATTGTAGTTACTCTACTGTTGCTATTACGTAGAGGACTCGTGAAACACTCTTTCAAATGTTCCGTAGCGTTCTTGATAGATAAATATGAGATTCGATAAGAAATTATAAGAAAAATTTGATCTGTATGTTTTCATATAATAGATGCATATGAATAATGCTAAAGCAGTATATTTACAATGTAATCATTTTACTATAATTTAACTCTAAGATACTACTACATTTTTTTATAATTAAAATCTGCTCAGTGCTTACCTTGCCGTGACTATTTTGGGTATAAATAAAGTATAGGTACGCTAAATAAAAATATTTATTAAATTTCTGAATTTATCTAATAAGTAATAACTAATTAGCAGTTCCCCGCGGATTTACCTGCGAAATTTACTTATTTTAATTGTTTCGCTACTAAGGATCATAACATAATATTTGATAACGTTTTTTTAATAAATCTATACATATAATAAAATTTTAAAATAGTCGAATCTGTACAATAAATATTTTTTTGGAAAGTTTTATTGAAATAGTAATTACGAGTATTATCGATACAGAAGCCGAACCTATATTTTTTTTTAAATGTCTGTCTGACTATCTGTCTATTTGTCTGTCTGTCTGTTTCTGTCTGTCTGTCGGTCTGTCTGTCTGTCTGTCCGGGAAAGCATCACAAGAAAACCACTGAACAGATTTTATGATATTTGGTATGACGATAGCTGGTTATCCGAATCAACATATAGGATACTTTTTACTGCAGGAAAATATCTTATCTCCTAGAAATCTATACTAAACGTTAAAAAGTAGGCTATAAATGTAAACAGCACGTTTAACAAACGTCCGCATAAACTTTTTTATATATAACATTGTTTTCATTTCCATTTAATTTTTCACTGCACGATCTAAAACAATGTTGCACAGCTTTCAGCTTTACCCATATTTATTGGTTATTTATGTAAATAATATAATTTCTTAATAATATGGGAAGTTTATTTTATATGATTCCAAGTTGCAGATTAAATTAAGCATTACACGAATAAAGTATATGATTTGATCACCTCTGCGGCCAGCACATGCTTTTAGACTGTTAGTAGTTCAGTAAATACGTTCATTAAAGTATGTATTTAATAATAAAGATGCCTAAGGCACTACGTTATATACATACAATGTAATGTTAGTAAGAATTTTGTCACTGACTTGTTTAATTATAAATGCAATTGTATTAAGTAAATCATGGGTATACTCTTTCTACGTACTATAAACCTGCAGTGTTGGCTGCAATAGGTTGATTTGTAGAAATTATATTGTGTTATGAAACTTTCTTAGATTTACACGAATATTTGACATTTAAATTTCAAATAAAACTATATCTTTTCGAATTTACTTTGATTTTTGGTTACCAACGTCATGATTGCTGCAAAGCATTCGAAACGTCGGGAACTAAAAATAAAAAAAAAGCGAAAAAATAGTTTTATTTAAAATATTATATTAAAAATATTATTTTGACACAAATGTTCAATATAACAACAAAAACTAGATCTGGGTCAGATCCACGATATTGAATATTAGGGTGGTTCGCCTCGAGATCAAGTAGTTTGTGTGGTTGTACGGAACCCTCGATGCGCAAATGCGACTAAGATTTGACCATTTTTATTTTTAATTTCAAATAATAATTTAGAATAAATCCAGCACGTAATACATTATTTCAATAGAGCCGTGAGCTCAAGGTGCCTTACAAGGTGCTTTAAGTTAATTATATTGCATATTTGATACGTCGTCTGCAATTTGCAAATACCTTTGTGCATAACGAGCTACTTTTAACAGAACTTTTAAATAAAATTGATATGTAATAGTGTATTAAAGTTTTTGCGATATCATTTTTTAAATTCTCTTTCTCTCTAGAATAATTACACTACGGGACTCGACTTGAATTCGTAAGTGGCTATATACCTTGTTCCAGACGTTTCGACTGGATTGCACCAGCCGCGACTCTCTCTCTGTTCTCTCTTTCTACCCTGGTTGACGTACAAAATATGAGTATCTTTACTATGTGATTGTTTTTAGATAAAGGTCTTATTGCTATGGAAAGAAGAAGATACTTAATCTATTTACAAAAAACGCCGGTCGAAGCACTAGCATACAACACAAGATAAGCCTATTCAGAAAAAAACATTAAATTGGTTAAAATCTAACATACATACTTAGATTTACATACAATTTTAAATTTTCTTTCAATAAAATCAATTGTTGAACATCATTTTGTATCCATAATATAGTTAAGATAAATAATTAATACATTTCTGATTTCTGTTATAATCCATAGTGGTTTTTGGAGTTAGGTATACTTCGTTGGAGACGTTTGGAAAAAAATATGAGTGTAAAATTTTTGCCATGCGCGCGCACACCGATAGCCAAAAAGCGACATAATAAAGTTAGCTGCATTTCTTTTACAAACAAAGAGTTGTGACATACGGGATGAAATCTCTAGCTATTTTTGTTCTGTTACGCCAAAGAAGTATAACTTCTTACGTGCGTACATAAGTACACACACACATGTTTTTTAGTAAGTAACGATATTGGTATGCTCTACTGTGTCTCTATATATGTATATCAGATACAGGTCTCAGTACGCCGCACGCGTGTCGCGGCCGCCGGAACACCGTGTAGAGATGTCCGACAAGCCCCGAACATGTCCGTGCGCATTTACATTTCATTCCATCGTATTTTCCAACTCACTCGATATTATTATGCACCGCGACAACTCAAGCCACGTACACTTATTACACATTCATATAAATTCCCTCCAAAGATAAAGCAGTGCATTTCCATACTCTAGTATCAGGCTTGCTCAGTTAGAGCAACTAATTGCTCTAAAGTACCTACCTTCATGACACAGCGTTCGAGTCTCTTTAGTGCTAATACTTATCTCCGGTATCCCTTTTTTAATTATATGGAAAGAGAACTTTTTTGCTGGAAATTTTATATGCAGGTTACTGCTTACGTAACGATCACTGAATATCTTTAAGTCTTAGAACCAAACAACGGCTAGAAGTGTGCCTCTTTATTTTATCATACTAAATTAGTATGAATATAATAGATACTTTAGTTTTAGTCTCTAATACGATATTAGTAAAAATAAAAATATGTATATACCTATCTTTAAAAAACTGATGACATAGAATTAGGCTTATCTAGATTTTTTTAAACATATTCCAATAGAAATTAAATTACTCTCAAAAAAAAATTTTACACTTTGTGCCTGGGTGTATACACCAATGAAAAGATATATTATTACCTGATCATTTGTATCTATAGAAATAGAGACTAAAATGACTAAAATCTTTCACTAAGCCACCACCAGGAGCCCATTGAAATATGCACACAAAATTTCATCCAAATCGGTCTAGCCCTTTAGGAGGAGTAGGTTAACAAACAGAAGAATTATATAGATTAAGATACGAATATTTAAAGTATTTACACTGAGATCTTTAAGAATTTAAGGAGGGACCTCATAGGCTATTTGCACATTGCATGCACTCTACAGTATACAGTAACAACTAGAAGAGACCAGCCGATACAATTTGCGTGCGTCACTTCTCGCTATCGGTCAGTCTACGACGCGTTCGTGGCCCCTACACGCCACTTTACTGTTATTTCTTTATTGTTTCACATACACAGGATTTGAATTCATTACGCGGCTAATCTTCTGTTTGTAGGTTTATAAATTAGCTGTTGAATAATGTGGACGAAATACGAGGAAAGAAATGTACAATGTGCGATTAGATTTGTTTGTGACTCGTATGTGGTCGAAGCACCTACACTAATGAACTTACTGCTACAGTAGAAGGGCGACGAATTACTCACAATGTAGAAAAAAGCCCTTTCTGTGAACGGTAAATAAATTGATATTTTTATCTTTATTGTGCCTGCTTTTCGAGTATATTATTCCAATTGATTTTCATTTATTTTTATGATTTTTTTAAACTTAAATGTTTTTCATTTAGGACGTGAAAAAATAAATTAAGCGTTAGATTTAAATATTAAATTAATATAATTATGCGATTTTAAATACAAAATATGAATCTATATATATGCACCTATCCAACTGTTGTTATAATATATAACTGCTGTTATAGTATATGTTTGTTTCTCCTTCAGGCCGGAATTGCTGGATGGATTTAGATGAAATTTTATAATACTAAATAATAATTATATATAAATATATGAAATAATATAATAAAATAATATTATAAATATATGAAATTTTATAATACTAAAAAATAATAATTTCACTAATAGAGATAATAGACTTAAAGATACATGGAGTAGCAAATAGTTTGATTTATAGCATTTAAAGCACCCAATCGAGAATACGTCACCAGCATACATAATATAACGGCAAACGTGATTCTAAGAAAAATTATCATCCTAGTAAATAAAGTACTTTAGCTTTTAGAATATACACAATTAAATAATATTTTGACTCAAAAATTAAAACATCATTAGCAATAGTTTTATGTAACAAAAATTATAAATTATAAAACTGCTTAAATTTTAATAGCACGACATTAAAACTCATTCGTCTACTAAGATAATGAGATATTAAGATTATTTTTAAGAAATAATAAAAAGCACTTCGCATATAATACTACTTCGTGATTAATTTGTAAACTTTTTTTATATAGTGTAGTACATTTATATATATAATAAAAGTCAGAACACCGGTACCGGTGTTCGCTGTAGCGGCAGCACTCGTAAAAGCGCCGACGTACGATGTACTCTCATTATCTAAACAATCGTATGATATATATTTAATTGACTGCCTTTTCTCAGACTCAATTAATTTTAAATTTGAATGATGACTCAGAGTATGATTTGTTAGAAGTATTAGTATTACACTAGCACCGGCGCAGCTTTATAATGTTTATTTTGAGCTAAACAAAGGATAAT